TTTATAAAATTAAAAAAATGTCTTCTGTTTTGGTATCACTGCAGTTCTTCCCTCTGATCTACAATTCAAAATGACTGACCTGCAATCCAACAAAATGCATCAAATGCATGCATCAAATTTGAAAATGTCTTCTCACATAAATATGTTGTACCGAATTCTGAAATGAATTGTTAGACAAAAGCTTTTAAAGGAGAATATTGTTTTTCTGAAAGGCATTTGTAAAAGTTGGTTAACTTTTCCACTTTTGTCTTTCAACATCTCATTGAATTTCATGTCAAGCACCTGTAACTGTAGCATAATAATAGCATATTCCATATGACCTGCAGATTTGATGAAATGTCAATGTGGGCTGGATTTGGTCTGCAAGCCATAGTTTGCTAACCAATGAGCTAGATCATAATTTCAAACTTAATCAAGTGTGGAGGATGGAAGTAAATAAAATACAAATAGTCATTTAAAAAAATGTTTTCACTTCAAATTGTGCAAAGCAAAAATTTTTTTTTTTTTATTGAGTAGCTAAGAAATTAATGAACTGTGTAATCTATTATTGGCTAAATTTATTTTGTCAGATACACATTCAACAATATCATTAAATATTACAAAAAATATATTTTACAAGCATATTTACAAGCTGCAGACTTAGCAATTGATTCAATATACTATGACCACTTCATGTCAGCTAAAAAACACAGGGAAGCTAGGATAGACTGGTGGGGAAAATGACTATTGAAGCAGAGATGCCAGGTCAGGATAAATAACATTGCAAATAAAAAAATTTCAAAGAGACAGTAGATGATGATTGTATTGATATACATTTTCTTATTTGGGGAACAGAATTTGACTAACAAAAATGTCTGCTGAAACCAGTTTATGTATCTTTAAGCAATGGCTCTTTTACCATAGCAGATATTTACGCTATTTACATGCAGACTATTGTCTTCATCTTTCTTGGTGATAACAACAAGAAAGATGAGGACAATAGTCCAGAAAATTCTGGCTTCCAGAGAAAGATGGATGTATTTATTGATAAACATAAACTGGCCAACTGTTTTGCATATCTCGATTATGTTAAAATTTGTGGTAACAATATAGACAGGCACAACAAAAATTTACACTTTTACCTTGAAGTTGGTAAGGCTGATAACTTAACATTCAATAAAGATAAATGTCTTTTCAGTTTCATCAATAAACCTTTTGGGTTACCATATTTTACATTGGCTGCTGAGTCCAGATCCTGAATGTCTATGACCCCCTTTTTGATTGGTTTGTTCTTACTGATAAGAGGTTTTTGAAGTGGGTTGTGATCGTGTTTGCATATTATGTGAAATGGATATCTAAACTTCCTGTATAAAAATTTATATAAATATTTAAATAAATATTATAAAATAAAACTATAAATAAAATATATTATAAAATAAAACTTGTGAATTCTGTGAACTAATTTCCACTCATGTATTCTGAAATACAATTGTTTGAAATGCTAAGAAAGTAAAAATAGCCCAAGCTATTGATGGGTATATTTCTTTTACAGTGGAAATTGATGCTTCGGATTTTGCAATTGCAGCAACTTTAAGTCGAACTGGAAAGCCTATTACCTTTCATTCCTATACATTGTAAACGGTTACATTCTTTTGTAGAAAAAGAAGCTCATATTAAAGTGAAATCTATAAATCATTGGAGACGTTTCCTACTCGGGAGGCATTTTATTCTTATTATGAACCAACATAGTGTTGCTTATATGCATGATAATGAAACTTCAAGCAAAATAAAGAATGACAAATATTTATTTCCCCACAGAGGTATGACATCCATTACAGGCCCAGAAAAGAGTACATTGTGGCAGACACATTCACATGAGTAAGTTGTGCAGTTTTTAGCTCAGAAGTTCCATACTCATTACATAGTGCCTTGTGTCATCATGACATAATGAGATTGCATCATTTTGTCTGTTCTAGGAAACTGCCATATATTTTTTAATTTTTTCTTTTTTTTATTATTTGAGTTCACCCCAAGCAAACAAAGTTTCTTCATTGTATTGTGTTAGACAATTTTTCTCTCCTGAATCTATCTTACATATTTATAAGTCTACCATTCGTCCATGCTTTGAATATTGCTGTCACATGTGGTCTGATGGCACTGTTGTATATTTAGTGTAAAACATCTGATAACATTTTTTCATCTCCTACTTGAAGTGAAAGGTATTGTAGGAAATTCAGTTGTCCATGTTTTTTTTTTATTTTCAAATTATGAATGTCCGAATTCCAAACAATAATAAAATAAAAATAAAGAAAACATGGTTATGCTTGTTAAATAAATCCTTTTTTTAATGGAGTTCACCCCAAGCAAGGCATTAAAGCCACTAAGACACAAGGGATTACAGGGTGTGGAAGAATTAGAAAACAGAAACGTTACTAAGGAGCGAGAACAAAAGAAGAGTAATCAAGAGGACAGTAGATAGCGATTGACATTGCATTCAATTTTTTGCAGATCAAATTTGGTTGGAAAGCATGGAGTGAAAAGTGCGAGAAAAGAAACTGTTAGCATAGAATTTATGGTTACATCTAGATAACTCAACTGTAAATTGAGGGGACAGTGTTGCCAGTCTAATACTGCACTTCAATTCAAAAATTCTAGGTACCATAATGAAGAGCTTATCTGAACAATTGCTATGAAAGTATTTATAGAAAAGGCACAGGGAGGCAATATTATGGCATTGGGAAAGTTACTGAAGCTGAGATGCCATATCAGGACTAATAATATTGCTGATTCTTCTTTGGATTTTATCAAGGAGTTATATATATATATATATATATATATATATATATATCTTTAAACATGATTTTTAGTGGGTACTCTTCTTTTTTTGTAGATTAAAGTTGACTGGAAAGCATGGCATCGGAAAGGAATTCCACAGGCAAGACAATAAAGCCACTAAGACACAAGGGGTTACAGGGTGTGAAAAAATTAGGAACAGAAACATTAATTATGAATAGGAAGAGGAAAGAGTAATCAGGAGGACAGTAGATAACGATTGGCATTACATTTAAATATTTGCAGATTAAAGTTGGCTGGAAAGCAGTGAACCAGCAGGGAGTTTCACAAATGAGATGTGCAAGAAAAGAAACTGTTAGCATAGAATTTATGGTTACATCTTGCCAGCTCAACTGTAACTTGATGTGATCTTGACGCCAGTCTAGTGCTGTGCTTAAATGATTCTTCTTTGGATCTTATCAAGAGCTCAAGGTAATGTGATAACAATATTCTAAGCATGGATGATTGGTAGACTTATAGATATGTCAGATAGATTCTGGAGAGAAAAATTGTCTTGCCCAACATAGTGAATGAACATTTTTAGCAGCTGACCAAGCAATGGATTCAATATAACATTTCCACTTCATTTCAGCAGTGAATCCATGTTTATTTTTTTAAAGAAAAACCTTTTTATTTTATGAATGAAGATTACAATAGGAAGTAGAAAGCTTTTTTTTTTTTTTTAAAAAAAAAAAAAAAAAAAATATATACAGTATATTTCGAATATCTGTACTTTGATTTTCCGGACTTTTGTTATCCGGATGTGAAAAGAAAAACAATTTTAAATAATTCAAACATTTTTCAATTATCCATTTAAACATACAACATGAACATCACCTAAATGTTCCACTGACTGGCCAGTGATTACCTCATGTTACATTCTGTTTCTTCATCTCATTGCTGAGAAAGGACCTGCTGCATGTTCACAAGATGAAAAACAAAAAACAGATGGAGAAATAAGAATGAGAACACTGTTTCCCATATTATATGCAGATGTTTTATTCAGGGCTTTGCCTGCTCATCTGGGTGAGTATGTATGTAACACTTGGGACAAAATTCTGCTATGTGGATCTCACAGATCAGCTTTGCCCTTTACCTACTCCTCATCCCCCTACATACCCCAACATGGAAGTGGCAATATGTATGTGTGGCAATGGAACCAAGTCACAACCAAGTTCATCTCTGGCCAAGGGCAAACCAAAACTGCAAAACACCCTCTGGTCCCAAGCATGGCTGTTAATATAGACCAGCAACTGGATACACTCTATGTCTAGTTTTGTTGTCGCTTGATCTCTGAAATGACCCATCTACTCCTCTGTTCCCCATTAGTCAAAGTGGATGCCATTTAGAAAATTTCAATGAACAATTTGCTAGCCGCAGAACAGAAACACTTGCAATCAAGATAAAATTTACATCTTCCCCTTTTACGTGGGTGTTCATAGCATCACCATCTGAACTAAACAAATTCTCATATTTCTTCTCAGACAAGCATTTTGAAAATATGGAAAACCATGCTCAATCGGTTCAGTAAATTTTTGTTAATTTCCTGGGTTTTCGTACACAGAACATACATATGAATTATCACAGGTTGGTCACAACAGAGATTAAGGCTCTCAGATGTGTGTGTGTGTGTGTGATACATGTGATCAAATGGCAAATGGAATGTCATTTTGATGTACCAGCATAAAGCAAAGTAATTTAATTCCTGAACCTTGAACTAACTTTGGCTGCATAGCATGTGTTACATATTATTGCCAAATTACACACTGACATTAACATGTTCTGACAACTCATTTTGTGGTTTTACTTTTCAACATGTTACGTTTTGTTATACTTTGTGATCATGTGGGTTGAATTTGAAACATTTTCCTAAAAAAAAAAAAAAAATGGACAGAATTATGAAGAAAGCGTTTGGAAATATTTTGGGATGATATAAACGTTAAATTTCTTTCGATAATTTAGATAATTATCTGGATTGATTGATTTCTTTTTTATGACTTATCAACACTTTGCAGGTTATTTAAAGCCAGACGATATATTTTAGATAGAAGTCTTAATAATTAACCCATAACTGGGGAGAGAAAAGGTGGATTCACACCTTTCCCAAAGGTATTTGCCTGTAAGTGAATATAATCAACCCAACTAGAATTGGAAATCAGCTCTCTGATTAACAATTCTAAGCCATTATA